TTTTTTTCCCCTTTTCCTTAGCTGTGCTACTCCCTTTTATTCTATTGGCTTTTGAAAGCCAATAGAATAGACTCTCTTGAATAGAGTCTAATTTTATTGGCTTTCAAAAGCCAATAGGAATTGTCCAGGCTGTCTCTGCCCTGCTGAGCCCGCCAAAAGTCCCATTCTGCAAATAGTGCTGCACCAGTTTAGTAGTCCTCGATTTACGACCGGTTGAGTAGTCCTCGACTTACGACCGGTTGGGGGGGGTCGCGGCATTAAAAAGGTTGAGAACCATTGTTCTAATCCATATGAACCAGTTGTAGGAGAAGAGCAGGCAGAGCTGGGGCGATGGTGGAGTTAAACATGACATCACTTTAAAGTTGTGGTGTTCCCACAAGCACTCCAAGTCCAATCCTTCCTGAATTCTGTTGATCCTTATCTGGTGCCAATTTAGTGTTGAACTTTAGTTCTTGTGTAGAATAACTCTTCTACACTGCAACCAGTGGTGGGATTCAGCCAGTTTGCACCACTTTGGCAGAACCGGCAGCTAATTTTTTGTTGCCCAGGCCCAGAATGGACTTCCAGAAACAGCATCCAAACAAAGAACTGGTTGCTCACATATTTGAATCCCACCACTGGCTGCAACCTTACAAATGGTCCTGATTCTTTGTGTTTAACACCTGGATACCTAACGGATTACCATCAACATTACTGTACAGACCTGAATGATTATTGAAGGTGATCCTGTTGCTCATGCCCAAAACCAAGAGGGCCATGGGTAGTCTTTCACTGTGGTGACACATAGATTTTAAAATCTTTTTCTTGAAATCGATGAGGCACCTTTTGTTATAACTTTTAGATGGATGTTGAAAACCCTGTTTTTTTTTTATGCAGATCTTTTCTGAATGAATCAAGATCACGTGAAGTATTAATACCACTTTACAATGCCTTGGTAAGGCCACACATGGAATAGTGCATCCAGTTTTGATCACCATGATGTAAAAAGATGTTGACACTCCAGAAACAGTACAGAGTAGAGCAAAAAAGTTGATTAGGGGATTGGAGCCTAAAACATATAAGGAACAGCTGATGGAATTGGGTATGTTTAGTTTAATGAAGAAAAGGACAAGGGGGGGACATGATAGCAGTGTTCCAATATCTCAGGGGCTGCCACAAAGAAGAGGGAGTAAAGCTATTTTCCAAGACGCCTGAAGGCAGGACAAAAAGCAATGGATGGAAACTAATCAAGGAGAGAAGCAACCTAGAACTAAGGAGAAACTTCCTGACAGTTAGAACAATTAACCAGTGGAACAACCTGCCTCCAGAAGCGGTGAATGCGCCAACACTGGAAGTTTTTAAGAAGAGACTGGACAGCCATTTGTCCGAAATGGTATAGGGTTTCCTGCCTGAGCAGGGGGTAGGACTAGATGACCTCCAAAGTCCCTTCCAACTTTATCATTATTATTATTATTATTATTATTATTATTATTATTATTATTATTATTATTATTAAATGGATGGGTTTCCCCCCGTTCATTTTACTACATAAATTTTTATGCTGTTTTTGTGTTTCAGTTGAAAATAGCTTTGATATGCTTTTTTTAACAGGAAGTGGTATAAATATATTACATCACCATCGTTATTCTTTTCAATGTCTGTCCTATCTCCATCTGCAAAATTTTGTCAAGAAGCCATGGGTGATGAACCTGAGCAAAGGTTCATCACCAATGGCTTCTTGACAGAATTTTGTCCTTATATTCCTTATCTAAAGCAGTTATGCTCAATAAATACAGCTCCATAAACAGAGAACTCTCTCCTTTAAGACAAACTATGTCTTAATATATAATATATATAATATAATATCTAATAAATATGTCATGATTTGAGTGCAATTACTAATAAGCAAATTATTAGCAGCCTGAACTGAATGATAAATGTTCAGTTACAACAAGCTCTACCTACATTTTTCCTATGATTTGGCTGAGTTATATTACGCCCAAAGCTTTGTCTGAGCACAAGAAATTAAGCTGGATTCAAACATTATACTTGAGGAGACCATTCTTAAGCATAAAGCATGGTGGCTGAATTTATACGCGCTACTTAGCTATAGATTGAGTTAACTTGTTGTATCAGTCCAACCGCTGCCAAGTGTTTATTTATTTATTAACTTTCTACAGCATCCAGCTCCCAGCATTTCTAAATTGCGACTCTATCAGTATGTACCTCATACTAAGACTCAAAAGTGTATATTCACACCCCAAGGGGAGTATGCCATCTCAAATAGGATTGAACCTTGTCCAGGAAAATACTTTCTTTGTATAAATAACTCTAACAAGCATCACATCCTCATAGCAATAACAGCAAAAAAACAATTTTTAAAAAATGGGGAACTAGACATGCTCTCTTATCATAATATTTAGGCACTAGAGAACACTCAACATGACAGCAGGGCACTTAGTAGTGGCCAGCCCAATTCTTTCAACCCAGCATTCTATCAGATGTGTATGCCATTAGTCATTAACAAGCATTATGCAACAGCAACAGTTCGACAGGCTTCTAGTTATGGAAAATCCCACTTGTTTTGGGGGGAAGGGTTAGAAAAGTTAGCTCTTTGCTAGGTTGTCTTTTGAACTTGTGAATTAATAAGCCGTTGTGGACTCAAAGAGATCTGCACATTGCAAGTAGAGGTAAGCCTCTGATGGGAGTATCAGGGTCTGTCTGAGCCTTCCTCATCCAGGAAACAGATCACAGTGTGATCTGCTCATGCACAGAGTGACCAGAGCAGTAGATAGTGCACAAAGAGTCCTGGCTGATGAAAGCTGCCCTTTGCTCTCTTGCTGTACTTTTCCAAGCAACGGATCCATGGCCATGAGAGAGAGGGGAACCAACTTGGCTTGAGAGATGATTGTGGACCTCTGAGCTGCCATGCAACACTGGACTTTGACCAGCATTTCTTTCACAGAGTGATAGAACAAAACTGTGTTTATTATGCCCTGTACAGCTTTTCTTTCGATTGAAAAGCAAACCATTTCTTAGACATTCCCAGAACCATTCAGAAAGAGTACCTGTCAGATGAACTAGGAAGATCACTAGATATTTATTTCTTTGGGTGGAAGGAAATGTTTATGGCTTATTGTGGACATTGTTGGGACATATTTGCTTGAAACAAGAAATTTGCTCTGAAATTTCCATATACTTCCCAGCAAGCTGATATCTTGTTTATTGTTGGGTGGCTGTAGATGGCAAGCGAATCTAGGATGGATGTCTAGGCAACTTGCAAGTTGCCCCAAATGATGCATCACCAATATGGTAGAGGTGATGGTGGTTTGCAAGGAGCCTTGATGCTTTTTTGCTGCTTCATTGTGTACCCTTCCTCAATGCCTGTGATCATTCGCTCTGGTTAAAAGGGAAAACAAACAGAATTCATGCCAATTTCACTCAAGCTCTCATATATCCAACATGGTGGCAGTGTTGAAGGGAGTGGTTGTCAGCACCTGCAAATTGCCATTGTCAGTCCTATTAGGCAGACCAGGAAACCAACTCCATAATAAGGCTAAAACTAGGGTTTATTGAGATTGGCTATAACATCTGAATCTTACAAGTCTGATTGTGCTGTGCCTTTGCCTCTTTCTTATAGGTCACTGAATTAGGGAGGCATCTGTGTGAGTGCTTCTGAATGTTATCTGTGTTCTGGCCTGTTTTGCCTAGGAAATAGCTTTTGCATATCTCCATCAAGGTCCTCTTCCTTCCTTTCCACATTTATGAAGTAGGCAAAGTGGTACAAGAGTAGACAAAATGGTACCCCTCACTCAAATATGGTCGTTTGAAACCCTGTGTTGGCTGAAGCAGCAGAAAACTCATCTGGGTCAGAAGTAGTCCTGTTTTTTCATAAAAACATAAAAGCTAAGGGTAGAAAAGGATTTTAGGGATTATGTAGTCCAACCCCTTGCCCACTGCAGGAATTCACTATTAAAGCAGCTAGAACAGTCATCCTTCCTTCTTTCCATCCATCCATCCATCCATCCATCCATCCATCCATCCATCCATCCATCCAGCCATCCAGCCATCCATCCATCCATCCATCAGCTCTTACCATTATGGGAATTCTTCCTGATGTCCTACTCAAACTAGCTTCCTGGAAACTTAAACATGCTTTGTCTCCTGGAACAATTCTGAATGAATCTGGCCCATTTTCTACATGATAACTATTCAGACAATGATCATTTTCTTATTCAGTCTTCTCTCCTCCAGGTTTAACCTTTACAGTGTTACTCACAAGTTTTTCCTTCCAGTTTTCCTTTATTATTTTGCTAGCTTTCCTCTAGCTGCAGGCTCTAGTTAGTTAATGTGCTCCCTAAAATGGAAGGACAAGGTGAAGTTTGATGATTGCTGACTAGAAAGAGTTAAAATTATACTCTGTTGATGCAGACTAGGGCTGCCCTTCCTCCCTCCCTCCCTTTTTGGATCTTTCTGGCTCTCTGCATAGGTCTAAGCCACACATACTTTACTGCAATTTGTCAGTGAGAGTATCACTTTAGTGGATAGGCCAACTTTGACCTCAAGGACAGTTTTCATTGTGATGAAAGTTCATGGTGAAGTGATAGGAAAACAGTGATGGGATTCACCCAGTTTGCACCACTTCGGCAGAACCGGTAGCTAATATTTGTTGCCCAGGCCCAGAATGGACTTCTGGAAGTGGCATCCACACAGAGAACTGGTTGTTCACATATTTGAATCCCACCACTGCAGGAAAGCTCAGAATTTACAGTCGGGAATTTTGCTAAATGTATAGAAAGTGGAGAACTGGTTTGGTGCAGCAGGAGATGGGAGATGGACAAACTTATCAATACCAAGCAGGAGGAAAGGGAACAAAAGCGAAGCTGTGGTTGAATTCTAAGGAAGGATTCTTGTAAAGGAGAGTATCTGCTTTTGAAGTCCACTTTTGCTCAGGATACCCATTTGCCAGCGTTCCACACATTTCTCAGAATACACTGAATTGTTATTTTATTTTTTTTATTGAAACTTGCTTTGCTACTAATGTCATTCCAAAATAAAATAAAATAATATAGATACATTAACAGAAATGCAATAAATCTCACACACAGTACAAAAGTCAAAACATATTTAGAGTCCTTTGGGTATGGATCTGGGCAGCTCTTCTTGGTTTCCTTCTTTTTCTGCCCATCCAGTGAAGGAGTTCCCAAGTAAACTTGGCCCAGTCCATGTGGAGCCTTGGATTGAGAAGAACACCATGACAATGAGAAGAGCAACAAGGAGAACTTTTGAATGCACCATAAGATCTGCCTTTAGGGGCAACTAGTAAGGCTTGAGAAGATGTGTGTGATTCAAGCTCTTGCCTGTGTCTCCTGCTCTTCCACTGTATCTTGACATGCTGAGGCCATCAGAGGCAAACCTATGTACACCCCTGTATCCAGAACCCTATACATTCCAGACCCATTTCTGTGGACTCTTCCGCCCACAGAACAGGATTGGGAAAAGAGAAGTGAATGAAGCTACTGGGAGCAGGGTGGGAAGAGGTAGGGAAACAGCTTGGAGGGTCTATCAAGGAGCAACTTCAGAAAGGAAGACAAATACAGGGTTCTGAGGGTTAGAGGCCTAGTCGCAGCCCTGCATAGCACTACATTATACGTTATACAATGGTAAGAAAAAGGCTCGTTTACATCTTAGTGTAACTTGTTTTCTCTGAAAAACCAAACACTGTTGCTCTTTTGAAAAGAGTCCATATGATAATATCACCCCTTCAGTTTGGCTCAGAGTCCTTGGATGTTCATGAGAGTCCAAAGGGAAGCAGAAAGGAAGTAACCCATTTCCTACTCGCTGTCCTTTTTTCGGTTTTCTCTCTGCTTACCATCCCATCTTTAGCTGCAGCCACAAGCATCGACGACCATGTCAGGAATGTCTGTCTTGATGAGGTTGCTATTGGGGTCAAAGTACAGCAGAGAAAGGGCCCGTCGCTGTGTGGGGACACAGCAGGAATGGCCCGCGATAGGGATGTTGTTGGCTTTGACCAAATTGAAGACAGTAGTGTGGAAGGAAGCTGCCACCCCAGGCACACCTGCCAGGTGCATGGGGCATTCGCCCATGCAATAATTTATCTGATAGCCCTCTGGCTTGAAGATCCAGTCATTCCAACCAATGTCCCGAAAATTTACATAGTAGTCTTTTCGACAGCACAGATCTGAGTTCTGGTCACAGCTCAAGCTGCGCTTGGTCACCCAGTGGCCAGTTTCTTTTATCTTTGCCTTCACCACCAGGAACGGCTGATGAGAGTTGCTACTGGTTGTCATCAAAGACACAATGTTGGAATGGCAGCCTTCGCACTGCAACTCCAAGCGTAAAGTTTTGTCTTCGTGCTCGAAGAAGTTCTGCAAAGCTGGCATCAGGGAAAAAGAGTGCCAGCCGCTCCTCCCCTGACTTCCCAGCTGCTGCTGTCCCAGCACCACTTGTGGCTGTCCTGCAACGTAGATCTGTATTGTGATGTTTTGGTGCGCCCTAAGGTGCAGCCACAATTGGGCCTTCAGGACGTGCATGGCTTGGCCTCTTGTGTGGGTGAGCTGGAATTGAAGGAGGCCTGAAGGCTCTGCAGAGGAGAAAAGAGTTAAGGCAAAAATAAGTATCAGCCTCTAAGCTGCCAGCCCCAAACCAGAGCCCAAGTTCTTCTAAGGCAGGGGTCTTCAAACTTGGCCCTTTGATGACTTGTGGACTTCAACTCCCAGAATTCCTCAGCCAGCATGCCTGGCTGAGGAATTCTGAGAGTTGAAGTCCACAAGTCATCAACGGGCCAAGTTTGAAGACCCCTGTTCTGAGGGTTGTTTTGGTCCTTACTTATTTGCTACATACAAAGAGCCGAGGTGGCGCAGCAGTTAGGGTGCAGTACTGCAGGCCACTTTAGCTGACTGTGTTCAGCAGGTCAGCGGTTCAAATCTCACCGGCTCAAGGTTGACTCAGCCTTCCATCTTTCCGGGGTAGGTAAAATGAGGACCCAGATTGTTGGGGGTAATGTAAATATATATATACATTGCTTACTGGTGTACACCGCTGAGAGAGTGCTTGCACTTAAAGCGGTATATAAGTCTCATAAATAAATAAATAAATTTGCATTTAGCCCCACATATATTAATCCAAAGCACCTGAAGGCAGGACAAGAAGCAACGGATGGAAACTAACCAAAGAGAGAAGCAACCTAGAACTAAGGAGAAATTTCCTGGCAGTTAGGACAATTAACAAGTGGAACAACCTGCCTCCAGAAGTTGTGAATGCTCCAAAACTGTAAGTTTTTAAGAAGAGACTGAACAACCATTTGTCTGAAATGGTATAGGGTTTCCTGCCTGAGCAGGAGGTTAGACAAGAAAACCTCCAAGGCCCTTCCAACATTATTATTATCACCATCACCATCATCATCATCATCATCATCATTACAAAATATGGGTCCTAAATTGTAAATAACCTTACAATAATGTGCTCAGAAGCTTGATAGTAAAACTTGCCCAGTAAGAGACTAAAGGGAAAAATGTTCATTTAAATACAGTCTTTTTTTTTTTAATCACAAGAACATTATCCCTTGATCAGGGATACTGGGATTTTTTTTCCAATTCTTTTTTAACTTACAGGTTCCAAAGCTTCAAAAAGTTTGAAAACTTCTGATCTAGCACATTTTAAAGATTCAGCAGGTTGGATAAAGTTACGACCATACCAAGTGCACATATTTCTGACCAGACAAATACACAGTTCTTTGCGAGAGGGAATGGTCTCTGTGTAGATCTGAGATGCCACAGGAAGCTAGATCTGATGAGAAGAGTATAATCTGTTCTCAGTAGACCCAAAACACACATTACTTTTTTCCCTTTTGCAACTGATGTATTCCAGCACATAGCCAGGCTCTAACCTAAACAATGGGATAGATTTCAGGAGTAATTTGTAAACACAAATGATCTGGTCTAGCGTATTCGGCCTGCACGTTTGGAAGACCTATGGGCACTCACCTGTCTCTGCAAAACTAATGATCTCGTACCCCTGCTCATCCGACTCTGTTTTCTCCCAGCTGGAGAAGTGCCCCATCACATCTGTCCAGCCTTTGCCCATGTGTAGTCGCCGCAGGGCATTGGCCACTGCCACACGTGGCACAGGGTGGGTGATGTTGGGCCTCTCGCTCAGGTTCAGTTTTTGGAGTATCTGCTGCTTGGCTACTTCAATCAAGAAGGCTTTCTCGGCACTGCGTTCCAGTGGAGGCATCCTGCAGGAAGGACACCCTGGCTTTCCTTCAACCCAAGCCAAAGAAGTCCATAGTAAAGTCAGTGCAGCTAGAGGAGTCCACTTTCCTTGGAGGCTGTAGGTGGAAGCCATGAAGCACCCAAGTAGCAAGATGAAGTGAAGAATTATGTTGTTAGGAAGTCTAGTGGCAGTGCCTGGAACTCATGAATTGGGCTGCTGCTGCATCCAGGGTGCTTGGCAGTCTGCCCAGAATGAGGAGAAGATAGTCAGCTCCGGCACCTCTGAGACTTTCAGGACCTGCTGGTGTTGCCAGAAGAGAAGGACTCTTCCTTAAGAGATCTCAGCTCAACAACTGGCTTTTCCCAGGTGTCAGCCTCGGCATTTGTCATTCTGGCAGCCTTGGTCCTGCCCTTTGTCCCTCTGTGATTGGCTGGCTGCCTTCTGGTGCCCAGAGGGAGGTTTTATCCAGCTGGGGAGAGAGCCAGAGTTTAGCAAATGAGTAGGAATGGGTGCCTGGGGAAAGGAAAGACTGAGCCCCAAACAGTGAGGATGTGGAGGGAGGTGGGAGTGCCCTTTGCTCCAGATGGGGCTGCTGAAATGCCGTAACATTGAGAGCAGGGCTGGGGGAAACTTGACAGAAGAGGAATTCACAGGAAAAGAGGATTGTGCATGAGCCCTTTTTTGTTTTTAAAAAATCTTGTTGTGGTGCACTTCATGGTAAACAGTACCTTTGGGAGCAAATAAGAGGACTATTATAAAAGATGAATAACTTCATGTGCACAAGGAGTGCTGTGTGTGTGTGTGTGTGTGTGTGTGTGTATACCGTATTTTTCCGTCTATAAGAGGCACCCTTGTATAAGACGCTCTGGCATGAGAGTTTCTCCGTGCCGATCAGCTGTTCGGTGGAGCACCAAACAGCTGAGCTGACAAATCTGGAAGTTCCGCCGGCCGACGATCTTGCCCCATTGCAACCCCATGGACAATGTTCCTCCAGGCCTTCCTGCCCTCTACCATCTTCTGGAGTCCATTTAAGCTCACACCTACTGCTTCAGTGACTCCATCCAGCCACCTCATTCTCTGTCGTCCCGTTCTTCTATTGCCCTCACAAACTATTCTAAAAACACAAGTCCCAGGTACATTTATTTGTAAAAAAGACATTTTATTTATTTATTTATTTATGAGACTTATATACCGCTTTAAGTGCAAGCACTCTCTCAGCGGTGTATACCAGTAAGCAATGTATATATATATTTACATTGCCCCCAACAATCTGGGTCCTCATTTTACCTACCTTGGAAGGATGGAAGGCTGAGTCAACCTTGAGCCGGTGAGATTTGAACCGCTGACCTGCAGCTAAAGTGGCCTGCAGTACTGCACCCTAACTGCTGCGCCACCTCGGCTCAATACTGATCTATAGTGTCTTATACATGGAAAAATATGGTATATAAATTCTCTCCGGGACAGAGAATTTTATTATGTACTAAGCTTTCGTTAGCCACTGTTAACATTATCAAAGTATATTTTATATACATATACATATACATATGTATATAAATTTGGATTGCTAACAAAGAATTAAGGGAGAATGGAATATCTATTTCGAGCTAACATGTTTGGCTAATGAGAGCTAATTAGCTCGAAATAGCTATTCTATTCTCCCTTAATTCTTTGTTAACAATCCAAATTTTTAAATTTGAATTTTTGCGACTGCTGCCTGTGGATGGCTCTAGATTGAGCTGATACAGGCAAAAGATTTCTTTCTCCCATATTTGGGCCGACAGGGTGCATCAAAAAAAAAAAACAACACTCAAGGTAATATATATATATATATATATATATATATATATATATATATATATATATACTGCTCAAAAAAATAAAGGAAACACAAACGTATAGGATCCTATACGTTTGTGTTCCCTTTATTTTTATGAGCAGTATATGTATATATGTATGTATGTATGTATTTGTGTATATATGTATATATGCATGCATGCGTGTGTGTGTGTGTGTGTGCCTGTATAAAATGAATGTAGTTATATTCCTACTTACAAGTTTTGAGATCTATAGAATGCATGACAGGTATATCCCTAAAAAATAGTGCTTAAAGAAGAACACCACTCTTCCTCCAGTTTTCAGGAACTACAAAGCCTTTATCTGCTGCTAATAAACTGGGAAGAATGTTGGAATTCCACCTCTGCATTTATTTTATATGCTAACCCCAAGCGTGGCTTCAAAGTACCTGTTTTCATTGGGTTGGCACTACCTCCCCTCCAGATCTCCTGCAGCTCTAGAAACCATTGATTATCTCAGAACACTCTTGTCTTTTTCAAAACACGCCCCTTAAATGTTAGACGTAGTGTGGCTTTTTAGTTAGGGTCTGAATTAGGCTTCTGGTTTGAAATCCAGCTTGGAGCAATGTTGCAAGAAGCCAAGGAAAATCTTTGCGTTAATTCTAAAGTAGCTATCTTTTGGTGGAAATTTTTACTGAGCCGTGGGAAAAAAATGAACTGTTTGATCCCAAAGCATTAGTAGACTCAGTAGATCAATTCTACTAATCTATCACTTCCCAAAAGGGCTAGAATGTGAATTTTCTTTCAGCCAGTAAAACCAGAATACAGAGAATACATTACATTTAGCATGCAATAAATATAATATATTTAGCATGCTAAAGATAATGCCAATCAACCCTGATGTCCAAGACAAAATATTCAAAGGGAATGACCGCAGGCATAGTATAAAGGAAGATAATCTAGATTCACACATCAGACTAAGGGCCTTTCCCCACTGCTAAATTAAAGTGCAATCCATTCAATCAACAGAAAACTATACTGATTAGAAGCTTTGCAGTATCCATTTCCAATCCCTATCCTATTTTTGTAAATGGCACTGGGAATGACATAACAGAATAACAGAGTTGGAAGGGACCTTGGAGGTCATCTAGTCCAACCCCCTGCTCAAGTAGGAGACCCTATAGCATTCCAGACAAAAGTCTGTCCAGTCTCTTCTTAAAAACCTCCCATGATGGCAGCTTTTGAAGGCAAGCCATTCCACTGGTTAATTGTTCTCACTATTAGGAAATTTCTCATTAGTTCTAAGATGCTTCTCTCCTTCGTTAGTTCCATCCATTGTCTTGCCTTCTGGTGCTTTGAAAAATAGTTTGAGCCACCTTTACTCTGCAATAGTTTTGTTGGCTGGAAATGATGGAAGTTGTCATTCCATATATTTGGGGTGTATTAAAGTAGAGGAGGCTGTTTTAATCACCTGTATTCATTATATCAGGATGGAGAACTTGGGCATCCAATGCCGTGTCTCAATTCTTGTGATGCCCTAGAGAGCTGATCCATATTATCAAAAGCCCACTAAAGGGAGTCCTCAACTTAGGAGTGTAACTGAGCCCAACAATTTCGATTGTAAGTTGGGATGGTCTTAAAAACAGGTCACCACAAGGCCACGTCCAACTTTACTATCTTTTCTGTGGGCAGTCGTTAAGCAAACGTGGTAACTGTAAAGTTATTAAGTGAACACCACGGTCATTAAGCAAACCTATTTTCACTATGGGGTAGTTTTTCACCAGAAACCAGAAATAAATACTGGTTTCCAACAAAACCATTGTAAATTGCAGTAACCTGACCACAAGGCTCTGCAAATGCCTGTAAATGTGGGCTGGTGGCCAAGCACCCAAAACGTGGTCATGTGACGCTGGGGGTGGGGGGAGAGGTGGACATCAAAATTTCAAATTCAGGTATAAATCCTCTTTTCGGGGTCTACCATAGAATCAAACTGACATAAGTCGAGGACTATCTGTATGTGCTTGCATGTCATTTTAGCTGGAAAGTATATCAAAAAGACAGTACAAGGCTACAACAGGCTCACCGGACTTAAAACATGAAACAGTGAATCAGCCTCAAGCTGCTCCAATAAGCACCAGGAAAAACAGAAGCAGAAAATCTTGCACCCATCTGCATGACATTTGCATCATCACCCTGCCTATTATTGTCCTTGCCCTTTAGATGAATACAGTATGCTTCCTCTGTTGCCAATGACAAGGTGGCCAACCTTTGTACCAGATTTCATTAGCTGGCCAGAGAGAAATGGCCCCAACTTTGGCACTCACCGGTGAACTCATGCAGTTCCCCCATTTTTCGGAAGCTCCAAAGCCCTTATCAGCTGCTAATAAACCCTTGATAAACAAAGGGAAGGAAGCACCGAGTGATTGGCCTTCTTTATGGTGATGTCTGGCAGGTGCAACGTCATTGTGCTACTCAGGATTCTGCCACCTTGAGATATCAGCTAAGCTTTGCTCAGGTGTCAAGGTCCCTCACCTGATTTTTCGATCATGACGTCCCTTCTCCAATTCTATAGATGGAACATGATGATGCAGATTAAAAGATGTGTGGCAAAGCTAACTTCAGAATCATAATTCTGGTTGCAAAATGAGTTTGGAACTTTTCCTCTGTTCTTTACACCTGGCAGCTTAGGTGCTTTGAGTCCAGTTCTTATGCTACGATCATGATATTTTATGGAGGTCCAGACATTATTGTCTTCCTATGTTCTTCTATTTTCCCCCCCTCTTTAGTAGAAAAGAAATCAAACAATGAATGGAAATGGCTTACTAGAAGAAAACACATCTATCTGTATCCCATCTTTATTATTTTTACAAATAAGGCAGCAAATATATGCAACACACCTTCCTTCTTTTCCCCACCACAATAACCCTGTGAGTTGGGCTGAGAGAGAATGACTGGCCCAAGGTCACCCAGCTGGCCTTCATGGCTAAGGCGAGACTAGAACTCACAGTCTCCCAGTTTGTAACCGCTAGCCCAAACTGACTCTTTGTAGCTTAAGATCAAAGTGTGGAACCCTTAGTACTCTCTGAGCTTGCAGACATTTCATTACCCAATTACTGTATATAAACAGGGAGAAAACTCCAAACCTATTAACACTGATGATGGGCAATGAAACATCTGCAAGCAAACACCCAAACTCAGAGAACACCAAGGATGCCACAGAAATTAAATAACTATGCAGTAGCTTTGCATTAATAGCGCAAGGAGTATTTTATAACAACCAAAGTGGAAGATTGCTCTGGGTCTCTAAGATCCTTTCTATTGTACTAGACTTTAATAGAACCCAACTTTTACTATGTTGGTAGTAAAGCGTGAAGCACGATGATGTATTATCTTTTCTATCCTATGCTTTTTCCACCTACCAGTATTTTGCAATAGAAAAAAGAATAAGGAGGCTAACACAAAAGCATCAGCAATCAGTGATGCTACAAATAACAAATAAATAAAGCCTTCAAAAAGACGTTCTTGAATGAACAGATTCATTATTCCATCACACCCCATGATAAATGAAATTATTCTTGCAATACAGCAACAGAGATGTTTGATGTGTAGACTGTCAGACAAAAATACAAAACACTCTCCTTCTTTCCCCCATCATGATCCAGAAGAATCCACAATGTACAGTAATCCAGCTGGATTTAATCAAGCGGATGTCCCAAGTTTTCCATC